CAGGTAGATCTCTATAGATCTAAACATAGCACAGGAGGAGCAGTCTAACATTGTCGGAAAATAGTATGGGGACGATTCTTGGTTGAGCCCAAGGCGGCAGCGCACGCGCGGTGCGTCGCGCGTTGCGGGCCGCGAAGTGCGAAGTTGCAGGTCGGGCCTGTCCCTCCCCCACAGGAGGAGCAGGCAAAATTGCCAGGAAATAGTAGGGGGACGATGCTTGGTCGACGATGTTGGGCCATTTGGGAACCCACGCCTTGCTTATTGCTTTTATTCCTCGTCCAGAGTCCGCCCGTGGGGTGACATGCCCGACCTAAGGTTGCAATTCTGACTTTGCCCTGGTCCGAAATCCGGCTCCATCCAGCTTAATCCCGCTTAGTCCGCGGCCGAATCCGGCGCAGCAGCAGCCGACCTCTGGGGTTCAGTCATCTTTCATGCTTCCGACGAAGACCTTCCAGCAGTTGCATCGTCAGAAAAAAAACATAGGGTGTCTCCCTGGAGAAAGGAGGACTGGCATAACCGCACACTGTCGGAGCTCGGCTCGGAGTTCTGGCCTCGGCGCCATGGCCCGCCTGGCGGCTCCTCCGGCGCCCCCCATGGCGCGCGGAGCGCGCCGTGGGAGGGGGCCCGGCGCCGATCTGAGGAATGCGCGCGGACCTCCGGAAGTTTAGCCGAATGTTGGTTCTACTTCTTCAGCTAGCCCGCATAGTAAGGATGAACGACGTTCCAAGGTTACCTTTGCTTCCTTCCCCTTCGCCCCATCCTTGCCGCTGTCGCTGGCCGCGCCCCGCCCGCAAAGTGTCGGCATGGCCTCCATCATGGCCCTTGCATTCTTATTATCGTGCGTAATGATTCCGCGTCCACTCCCTTCCACCCCATATAACCGTAATAACACAGTGAAGACGTGGCCTCACTGAGGTCCCCGCCTCTGCGTTGCCGGGATAATAGATCTTGGCGGTTTCGTCCCATACATCTGCAGAGCAGCCCCCATATCCCTGATGCTATTTTGGCCCTCCTAACCCAGACCCCCGACGTCATGATTTTTGTTCATGACGTCGACCCCCAAAGGTATCGACTCATTTCCCGGGACCGGTTTTTCATCCTGAGTCGTTTTTTCAAGGTCTCGAGGGCCGGTAAGCGCCCCCAGAGGCCGAGAATAGCGAAAAACATCCCGCCGTGATTTTTCATTGCCCGAGGGGGTTTGGGAGCTCAGGCCCCCACCCAAAGGGCTGAGGATCCACCCGCAAGCACAAGCACAGCTCCCAACTGGGAGCCCACGGCAGTGGCCTGGGCTCTTCTCCGTGCTGGCGTTCCTGCCCACACACCGCTTCGGCGTATGGTTTGTCAGTCAGTCTTGGTTTGACATATCTGCAGAACTGAGCCCCTATCCCTAATGTTTTTTTTCCGAGGAGGAAGGTGCCCATACCTCTATACCCCCTCGCCCGTTTTCCTCTTGTGGGACCTCCTTGGAGGCCCTCGTCGCCACCGCTGGATTCGCCTCCAAATCCTGGTCAGGACGCACCCTGGGAGAGGTCTGGCGAGCAGCGGTATCGGTACCTTCTGGTTTCCCCAGTTTCGTTTTGGTCTCCCTCACTTATTAGGTACTTTTTCATGGTTCGTCAGTACTCCCTGTCCCCTTGACCCTGTGGGTGGGGACCGGAGTATTCCCTAACCCTAAGAGTTAGGGGTCCCCCCCACCCTTGGGGTTGATTCATTAGTACTCCTAAACCTTCATATTCCTCGACTAGCACCCGAGTGCTTCTGGCCCTCCTAACTTGGATCCCCCCCCCAAAGGGTTACTAGATGGGGTCCCTTTCTGGTCCAGCAGTGCCCCCCCCCCCCCTGGTGGGAGTCCGCCTCGCCCCGTCGGCGCCAGCCGCGCCCCGACGGTTGGAGCGCCTCTTCTGCGCGAATTGGGCGCAGCGGTGGTGCTCCGCGGCCGGGGCCGCTCTCGGGGGACCGTCGCTGGGGCCGGCGACCCCCACGCCCGCGGGGCGCC